AGGTAATTACAGGGGTAAAGCGGTATTTTGACCCAGCTGTAATTACGAACAACCTGTGAAGGGTCGACTTACCGATCATGGTTATATCAAATGGACATAATATATCTACAGTGAGGAGAGTGCAACTACGGGCTTTAGTGGAGTGACCGCGTAGTTAACGATTGTTGGTTAACTAGGTTAAAGAGCTTAACCGGTTAATCTCGGATCGTTGGAGCTCATGATCTGTAGGTCCATAAGGTCCCCCGGTTAGCTCATATAGGAATAAACTTGGAATAATTTAAAGGAATAATTCAAATCGTACGAATTAGGTTAATCATATGAAATATGATTAAGTAATTGATATATGATATCAATTTGAGAAATTTGGACAAAATATTTAAATAGGATTTAAATATTAAAATTATGAATGCGGATTCATAATCGGAGGCATGGATTTCATCAAACATCGGATTTTGGAAAAAGTCAAATAGTTGACTTTGACTAGAGAAAGTCAAAGGTTGACTAAAGTAGATTAAAATAATGTTTTTAACCAAGTTGGTGGAAAATTCCACTAACTTGTTGAGTAGAACATTTAAATAATCTCAAAAATCCACTTTTTGACACTTAGCCATGCATGCATAAGTGGAATGTGTCTTGTAAGTTTTTTGTGAACTTAAACATGCATTTTGACACTTAGCCATGCCATGCATGAGTGAAATGTGTGTTGTAAGCTTTTGGTGAACTTAGACATGCATTTTGACACTTAGCCATGCCATGCATGAGTGGAATGTGTGTTGTAAGCTTTTGGTGANAATGTGTGTTGTAAGCTTTTGGTGAACTTAGACATGCATTTTGACACTTAGCCATGCCATGCATGAGTGGAATGTGTGTTGTAAGCTTTTGGTGAACTTAGACATGCATTTTGACACTTAGTCATGCCATGCATGAGTGGAATATGTGTTGTAAGCTTTTGGTGAACTTTGACATGCAAGAGTTGCACGTAATTTGCCTATTTAAGAAGTCTTTTGTTCAAACATCAAGATCTCTTGGAACCTTTGGCCATTTGATGTGTTTTCAAAAAGCTTACATAACTCCTTTTAGCTCCACTTTTCTCTAATTTTTTCCTTCTCTAAAAAGAGTCCCACCACTCTATTCCAAGCCTTGAGAATAGCTAGGAAGATCTCTTGGTGGTCCTTCATCGGAGCTATTTGAAGATTTTTTAAAAGCTACAAAGGTTTGTATCTTTCTCTACTTATCTCTAAACATCATAATGTATGATCATGCATGTTTAATCCTAGGTTGTATTATGCATGTGTGTCTTTTTGTTTTGAAAAGAAAATGCTTTTTACATTTAGAAAAAGAGTTAAAAAGAAAATGCAAGCAATAAAAAAGAGTCGTATTAAAAAAGAGTCATATGCAATAAAGGTTTTACAAAAAAGAGTATGAAAAAAGATTTGAAAAGAAGAAAAATCAGTTAAAAAAAAGAGTATTGAGAGAAAATAAGAGTGGGGGAAAGAAAAGAAAAATAAAAGTGAGAGAAAGACAAGAGTGGTAAGAAACACGAGCGGCAAGAAAATGCACTTACCTTTTCGTGTGTCCCCACTGTAGACATTCATTTATCTTTAAATGGGTGGCGTTAGCATCTTGGAGGATAGTAACCTATATATTAAGGTGACTTCGTGAAAACCATTGTCGACATCATTCTATACCAGGTTGCGACCTAAAGAGTTTCTATGAATAGCTATGGTTGAAAACCGAGGTTAGTGTGTGGAAAACCTCAGGGGTAGTAGCCGGTCCGCGTGTCTTCTTATGTGAACTTTTTGAATCAAAACAGACATGTGCATATTCCTTGGTTTTGTAAAAAGTTTTGTGTTTTAGAACATAAGAGGATTTAGAATCATTTTTCTTCTCAAAACAAGAATGGTTTATGGTATATTGGCTTGAGATTAAAGTTAAGATGTTTAACTTGTGAAAAATGACGTAGTTTAGAGTAGGATTTTTGCATACATTTAAGGTAGTGTTTTCCCTTCTATTTATATGAATCCAAATTTTATTCTCTCTAGGAAACCTAGTTACTTGGGTTTTGGATGTATCATCGTCACGGGCTGGATGTAAGGAGAAAAGACAGTCGGCCTGTTACTGAACCTCATTGACTGGGCATGGGGCCCGTCCTTTGGGACGCCCGACAATAGGTGGCAGACCACTAGTCGACAGCCGAGACCAAGTCGGCCGGTGTTGGGTCTTGGTTGCCAAGCCTGTGCCACCACTCATTTGTTAGGCTTCTGAGTTCGGGCTTTCATTCTTTCTTCTAATTTTGGCCTATCTGGAACTTCTCCTTTACTCATGGGCTTCCCCTTAAGTGGGTTCGTAGCTTGCTTGTCGGGTTTAGCTTTAATTATTTCTCCCATAACAGTTGTCCTCACTCTCTAAGTAGAGGTTTTGTTTACAATGGGTCTTCTGCTTTGAGAGTATTTGTTGTATATGTTGCTTGGTTTACTTTGTCAACTATGTTGCTTGGTTTACTTTGTCAACTATGTTGGTTTACTTTGTCAACTATGTTGCTTACGGACCAATCGTTCTTTTGATCCATCATTACTTTTCAAAAAGACTACGTTAGTCTTATAGATCGATACTCGGAATACTCATTCAATTTTATTACTTTTGATGGGTGTATACTTGCACTCTATCATTTATTTTAAATCAAAATCTCAAACATCATTCATTCAAAATTCGATGACTATTCACTTGAATACAAATGCGCACGCGTAAAAGAAAGAGAGAAAAAGACAGACAGCCACAAATTTTTGTGGTGCATGTTGCCAAGCAGAAGACTGTCACCAACAGTGAGGGAGGAGTAGGAGACTTACCTTAGAGGAATTGTCGTTACGTGCCACAGGGCCTTGTGTTTGTTGTAGCTTAGACACACTGTGCCCTACAAGTGTCGATTTCGTGCCTCCAGTCGGCGAAGGCGGTTGTGGAACTCGGGGATATGTGTTGAGGAAAGCGGGGCCCTGTTAATTTTTCTTCGTCCACCCAGAGAAGTCTCAAAACTTTGTTATGTATCTTGAGATTACTTGATGCCTAGTATGACCGGTTGTTTTCTTACGTGTGAGAATATAGCCTATGCATCGCATGACTAGTTTGCTCTGATTTATGGATTGAGATTCTTTGCGTATAGTATGAACCATTTACGTGTGAGAATCTCGAACTGGATGTCGTACTCACTTAGCTCTATTGCCCACTTTCATTAGGCGTCCAGAAGCTTCCGGCTTATGGAAGATGCTTTTTAGGGGCAAGTTAGTGAGCACCACCACCGTATGGGCTTGGAAGTATGGTCTAAGCCGTCGGGCCGAGGTGACCAAAGCGAGAGCCAACTTCTCCATCTGAGGGTATCTAGTCTCGGCTTCGGTCATAGCCTTGCTTGTGTAGTAGACCGGGTTTTACCGCGCTTCCTCTTGCCTAATTAGGGCCGAGCTGACGGCACTGTCAGACACTGCTAAGTACAATCGGAGCTTGTCCCCCGGCATGGGCTTGGCGAGCAAAGGTGCCGAACAGAGGTAGCTCTTCAATTGCTGAAACGCTTGCTCGCACTCCGCTGTCCATTCAAACAGCCCTTTCTTTCGTAGGATTTTGAAGAAAGGAAGGCACTTATCTGTCGATCTTGAAACAAACCGGCTCAGGGCCGCAATCCTGCCATTGAGACACTGAAGCTGCTTCAGCGTCTTCGGTGCCTCCATCTCGGTCACGGCTTTAATCTTTTCGGGGTTGGCCTCGATTCCCCGGTTGTTCACCATGAAGCCGAGGAATTTTCCCGAAGAGACTCCAAAGGCACACTTAGCGGGGTTGAGCTTCATTTGATATGCCCTCAGAACCTCGAAGGCTTCGGTCAGATCGGAGAGGTGCGACTTAGACTGCTTGCTCTTGACAAGCATGTCGTCCACATACACTTCCATATTCCGGCCGATCTGCTTGGCGAACATTTTGTTCACCATTCTCTGGTAGGTCGCTCCTGCGTTCTTTAACCCGAAGGGCATGACCTTGTAGCAGTACAGACCTTGGTCTGTTATGAAAGCGGTATGACCTTCATCTGGGACATGCATCTTGATTTGGTTGTACCCAGAGTAGGCGTCCATGAAGGTGAGCAGTTCGTGCCCGGCTGTGGCGTCCACGAGCTGATCAATCCTCGGCAGTGGGAAGCAATCTTTCGGGCATGCCTTATTTAAGTTCGTAAAATCTACGCACATTCTCCACTTGCCGTTAGATTTTTTAACTAATACAACATTGGAGAGCCACTCGGGATACGAAATTTCTCTTATGTATTCAGCTTTCAAAAGTTTGYTAACTTCCTCAAYAATTACATCACTCCTCTCCTTGTTTATAGGTCTTCTCTTTTGTTTCACAGGTCGGAATGATGGATCTATGCTGAGGTGATGCGTCATAAT